TAGATATATTTCTTAGCGTTCCACAGCATTTTCAATCATCTCAATCGGAGCTCGGATGAGAGATTTATGCTCAGATTACGAAACAATTTTGAAACTTTCCGAATTCACTTAATTAGTTTCGTTTTGCAATTAACGCCTCCATTTGCATCCTAAATCAAAATAGAATAATAATGAGTACATTTAGGCAGCAAATAAGTATAAAAGACTAGACATTAACGGGGGTAAATATGACATTTTGCATTCCCATCAGGCGACGAAGTAATGGTTTAGGTGGTTAGACCGGCTAGTCCAATCGATGACATCATCATGCAGATGTCAACTCAGCAAAAAAATTTAAAAAACTTGTAAACTTAATAAAAATTCATATTAAGTTTGTAACAATGCAACATCAAATCAAAGTTTGTAACAACTTACAAAATACAATTTCAATATCAAAATATCAATTCATAAAGAAATAGATAATCCTCAAATTCAAAGACATACAAAAAAGTGAAAACCAAAGTTACAAAATACAATTATCATTCATAATTCCACCAAACCACCATGGTAGCATCATGATTTCAATTTTCAACCCTAATTAATTCTAAGTTAATCAACTCTAAAAACTCATCATACATCTCAATTCCTACATATGAATAAAAATACAACAAATGAGTTAGAATGAAAACATAAATTACTACATTAATAAAAATAATCCATCTCAATTCATATATGCATTGGAATCATTTCCATAACATGAATTTAAAACGAAAACATACTTTATTCAGCCAATTATGTCAAACCCCTAAATTGATTATCCATATCATCATCTGAGTCATCATCATCAGCAGCAACGACATCACCTTATTAAATGCAGGTAATAATTGGCACAAGAATGAAGAATCTACTGAGAATGAGGTGATATTAGAAGTTAGAACACAAGCAAACAAAAAATGAATGAACCTCAAATCGATTTCATTAACTCAAGAGGAATTGGTAGGTCAACCTAGGTTTAAAAGAAAATGAATTCTTCAAGTAATTTCGCCTTCTTCCCTTTCTAGCTCTCCTTCTTCTTGAACATTACACAACTTCCAAAAATAAAATATTACATTTTACATTATTGAAAAGAAACCTTGAGTTAAATTCAAGGGGAGTGAGATGAGAGAAAGAAGATACATTTGAGATTTAGAGAAAGGCAAGGCACGTAGGCCCTATTTAAATTACATAACTTGAAAAACAATTAAGCTAGGTTCGTAGGCTTATGCACCATGCATATTCAAAACAAGAATCATGTATAAACAATCAAAACTAAATTTCGATTAGGTTGCTAAATTACAAGATACCCTTTGATTATTGGTAGTGTTGCCTTTAAGTCCAACAAGTTCTAAAATTTTCATTTTAGTCCCTTGTTAACGAGCATCACTCAATTTGGCCTCCAAAATGTTTATAACATGTAGCAACATTTTTAGAAAAACTATGGATTAAAAAATATCATGCAACAACATGATCACAACCCAAAATTCAGGCCAGTGCACCTTTACGTGGGTTGCCCAAAAAATCCAGATTTGGTGCACATTTTAACGTGCACCAGATCAGGCCCTTGGCTGAAAAAAAAAGTACCAACCATGACCAAGTGCTGGGAGCACTTGCCCAACACAAGGCATGCCAAAAACAACAGCCAACAGGAGGACATAATGCACAACTACTGCCCTTTGTGCTGTTGCACAAGGTTGTTATTGTGCCGTTTGCGGCGGCACAGCCCAAGGCCACATGATCCAATCCCCATGCACAATAGTGCACAATAGTGGAGCTGTTGTGTGTTGTTGCACGCAATCTGTCAACGAAAGTGCATGCAAACCCCACGTCATTATTCTGATGCCCTAAGGTATGAAATTCTACCCTTACAAGTAATTTTCTTTTCTAAATGGAAGAGTAAATGGTCATTTTGTATGGATTTCGAAAGGTGGCCATTATAAAGCATAAGGGGTGATGTCGTTGAAGAGAAATGAGGGTAGAAGGGTCATAGAGTAGATTGATAGGGTTAAATGGCTTAAGCGGTAACCAATGGTATAATTGTCTTTTCACACAAATCCATATGAATTATGTATCCATAAAATTGCACTAAGGGTAAATTAGTCATTTACCTAATGGGATTGCTTAATCACCAAGTGTTTAAAAGGAGTCAAATGACATTAAATGAGTGCTAATCATTATGTTGTGGTGGAAATGACCAAAACACCCTTATATGAAAAATTTATGCCAAATGACCCTTATGTCTAACTTTTAATGACCAATCACAATAGAGTATTAATAAAATAAAGTATCTATAAGGTTTTAAGAGAGAGGAGTCGGCCTTGTACACCTCAAATGCATTATCTTCTTCTCCCTCACTCAAATCCACCATTAAAGCCACTAATCCAAGCATTTTCCTCTCAAATTTTCTTATGGTTTCAAGTAATTTCTTGAAGGAGATCAAGATACACCTTAAGGAGATTCAATTTGAAGGGTTAAGGTAATCCCTAAAACCTTAGCTTGGTGAGTTTGAATGTATTTGATCCGAATCCAACCAATTTGCAACAACAAACAACACAAAATTATGCCCTAAACTCAAGGTTAAATTCGGCCAAACACAAATGGAGGCAATGTCACACTTACTTGCAATTTTAGGTTAAGACAAGAATGAACACTTCAAGCCTAAAGGAATTCTCCACCAACTTGAATCGATTCACCACCAAATCTCCTTGCCAAGACTTGGATAAAGAAATCTCAATAAGAACACAAAGTTCTCTCAATGGTTAAACCAAGTTTTTTTGATATTTCATGAACTACCTTTACAAGGAGAATAGTTGCCTTTATATAGGCAATTACAAGGTTAAAAGAGTAACATAGGGTAGCAAGGGTCGATCCCACGAAGAGTGTCTGGCCGATTTTTGATGATGTGAAAAGGCTGGGGGGTTTTGAGTAAAACAAAAAACAATCTTAGCCAAAAACAAAAACAAAACAATTCAATCGAAATCATTAATATAACGAAACTTGGTCTCTGTCAACATCCACCATCGAATCTTACAACTATCATTGATGCAAAAGTAATCAATTCTACTTGAATATTCACCTTGAATATTTTCCTCTCTCTCCTTAATTGTAATTAATTAGGAAACAAGCGATCTTAATTAATCTTACATTAAACAACCCTAGACAAGCCTAAAGATTTAATTAATGGCAGCCTTAAGAATTAGAGAAATCGATGAAGCTAAACAAACAAAACACAAGGGTTGATTTAATTTAGCTGAATGTTCTCTTAAGATTACTAATTCCTGACGAGCAAATTATTACCCTAATTGCTTCACAAGTTAGAGGGATCAAACAATTACGGATTTGATATCAACTTAGCAGTAGATTGCAACAAATAATACAATAGTAGAGCCTCTAGTAATTAATGCATCAATCATGAAGATATGCATAGAATAACATTCAATACTCAAACACAAAATTGAACACTAAAAAAATAGATTAGACCTCACGTTGTGCTTCAGGTCTCCGTTTCCGACAACCAAGTTACAAAGTTTAGCCGCTCATGGCCTAAATCAAAACTCCAGAAGAAAATTGTAGAGAAGAGAAGAGAGAGGTGTGGTCCCTCAAAACCTAATCTCATCTCTCTAACAAAAATCTAGTTCAAGTATTTGAATTCCACTAAATCTAAATCTCCTAAAAAATATTCTAAATCCTAAAATAACATTAATCCTAATTGATTCTAATTAATTAAAACCAAAATAAAATAGGAAAGTGGTGATCTGAGCGTAACTCGTGCCACATGTCCTCAAATCTTCCAATAATAAACTGCCCAATTGATTTGCATGACAAGGCAAATGCTCCAGGATGTCAGGCAGATGCGTCAACTTCAAACTGATTACAACTTGATTCAGTGAGTAGCTCTCCAAACTCAAACATAAAGTTGTAGTATATTTTTAGGTTCCACAGCATTTTCAATCATCTCAATCGGAGCTCGGATGAGGATTATGCCAGATTACAAAAACGTCGAAACTTCCGAATTCACTTAATTAGTTCCGTTTTGCAATTAACCTCCATTTGCATCCTAAATCAAAATAGAATAAAATGAGTACATTTAGGCAAAATAAGTATAAAGACTAAACATTAAGGGGGTAAATATGACATTTTGCATTCCCATCAGGCGACGAAGTAATGGTTTAGGTGGGTTAGACCGGCAGTCCAATCGATGAATCATCATGCAGATGTCAACTCAGCAAAAAAATTTAAAAACTTGTAAACTAATAAAATTCATATTATCAGTAGGGAAAACTAAGTCATTAACTTGTACCAAAACATCCTCAACTACACCCTTAGGATAGGCATTAGATCCATCAGCTAATTGAATCACAACACCAGTTTTATGCAAAGGTCCAAGTTTCAAAGAAGCATATATGGAATATGGCATGACATTTATAGAAGCTCCTAAGTCTATCATGGCCTTCTCAAACCTAGTGTTACCTATCGTACAAGAGATAGTAAACATATCTGGATCCTTCCACTTCGCTGGAAGTTTTCTCTAAATCACTGCAGAAACATTTTCTCCCACTCTCACCTTTTCACACCCCTTAAGTTTCTATTTCCTCTTAAGTGTACACAATTCTTTGAAGAATTTAGCATAGTGAGGTACTTGTTTAATAGCATCTAAGAGTGGAATATTTACCTTGCTTCTACGAAAAGTCTCATATATATCTCTGTTCTGCTCATCTTTTCTAGATTCTGCCAAAGCTTGAGGAAAAGGTGGTATTGGTTTATAATCGGACAGAGGTGGAAACTTACGCTTAGGAATGCCATCGTCGTTGGGAACGTTCTTGTCTACAATGATGTCTTTCACCTTTTCTCCCTTCGACGATGCAAGGGCTGCCTTTATTGGAATCTCAACCTCTTTACCACTTCTCAAAACGATCGCACTTACATTTTCTCTTGGATTTGCCACCGTTTGAGAAGGTAATTTCCCTGAACTTTATGCCTCCAGCTTACTGATTGCGGTTGCCATCTGCCTTATCTGATTCTCCAAACTTTGAACATTGGCCCTCGTCTCCTATTGAAACTGCAAAGTATTAGTAGCAAGAGACTTAACAATATCTTCTAAAGACATACCAGAATTAGCAGTTTGGTCTGATTGTTGTCTAGGGGGGTATGGCTGCTTGTACTACTAGTAATTTGGGCGGTTTTGATGGTGGGGCTGATTCACTTGTGGATTCCCATAGCCAAGATTAGGGTGATCCCTCCATCCAGGGTTATATGTGCTTGAATAAGGATCATACTTCCTTTGCGGTTGTCCAGGAAAACCACCTGCTGCATTCACTTGCTCAACAGGCTCCTCTTGAGGAGTTGGGCACATATCTGTTGGATGCCCTACTACCAAACAAATTCCACAAGCCTTCACTGTTTGCATGTTACCTACAGCCATTTGACGAACAAGAGAAGTTAGACTCGAGATTTTTTGTTCTAGGGAGGAAATATTTACCTCATTATCATGCCTAGATGGAAGGTCAAGCTTACTGCCAAACTGTTGAGAATTGGCGCCATATTTGCAATCAAGTTTCTCGCGGCCTCAAGAGTTTTATCCACCAAAGCTTCTCTACTTGCAGCATCAATCATGCTTCTATCAGTGTATGTAAGGCCCTCATAGAAGTACTGGATCAGTAATTGCTCACTAATCTGATGATGGGGGCAGCTTGCACACAATTTCTTAAAGCGTTCCTAGTATTCATGTAGGGACTCTCCGTTATGCTGCCTTACACCACAAATTTCTTTCCGGATGTTGGCTGCCCTCGAAGCTGGGAAATATTTCTCCAGAAATAATCTCTTCACTCGTTCCATGTGGTTATAGTTCCGGAGGGTAGATAATAGAGCCAATCCTTAGCCGAATCCTTCAAAGAAAACAGGAAAGCTCTTAATTTAATTTGCTCCTCGGTCACCCTCGTAGGTTTCATACTCGTGCAAACCACATGAAGCTCCTTTAGATGCTTGTGAGGATCTTCACCTGCAAGACCATGAAAAGTGGGCAAGAGATGTATTAGTCTAGATTTTAATTCAAAAGTATTAGTAGCATCTAAAACAGGAAACGTTATGCATAAAGGTGTTTGATTCAAATCAGGAGCAGCAAAGCTCTTTCAAAGTCTGATTTCCAGCCATGACGTCCTCCTCTCCTAAATCAAAGTTGCTAGCAAATTGGGAATCAAGAGCCAAATTGCTTTCTTCAGAATTTCTCCGAGCTTCCTTCCTTAACCTGCGCAAAGTGCTCTCAATTTCTGGATCGAATGTTAAATCACCAAGATGAGAGGACCTAGTCATACAACAAAAAACCTCATAAAAGAATTAGAATAAATGACAAAAAATGAAAACTAACTAGAAAATTAAAAAAAAAAAAACAAAAAAAGGCCAGAAACACAAAAACGCCAAAAACCCTATCAAAACATTCGAATTTTGCCTCAAGAGGGTGGGGCTAGAATATTTTCTAGTGTTGCTCAGAATTTTGTTTTCTTCGAAACGGGTACTCACAGCACTCCTAACTCAACCAAAATGTTCCTTACGAATAGTACTACTGTTCATCCAGAACAGTATGACTGTTCACAGTTTTTTTTCTGCAAAATAAAAAAAATAACAAAAACGCAATAAAAAATCACAAAAAAAAAAAAAAAAACTAGAATCACTCCCCGGCAACGGCGCCAAAATCTGGTGTGTTGTCGTAGGCAAACAAGATTAAAAACCTTCCTAACCTAATTACTGAACTGTAAATATGGTAAGCAAGGGTCGATCCCACGAAGAGTGTCTAGCCGAATTTTCGATGATGTGAACAAGGCTGGGGGGTTTTGAGTAAAACAGAAAACAATCTTAGCAAAAGCAAAAACAAAAAAACAATTCAAATCGAAATCGATTAATATAACGAAACTTGGTCTCAGTCAACATCCACCATCGAAATCTTACAACTGATCATTGATGCAAAATTGAATCAATTCATACTTGAATATTCACCGTTGGAATTATTTTCCTATCCCTCCTTAGTTGTAATTAATTAGGAAATAAGCGATCTTAATTAACCTTGCTACTAAACAACCTTAGACAAACGCTAAAGATTTAATCTAGTGGCAGCCTTAAGAACTAGAGAGATCGATGAAGCTAAACAACACAAACTCAAGCGGTTGCATTTAATTTAGTCGAGTGTTCCTCTTATGATTACTAATTCCTGACGCAGCAAATTAATAACCCTAATTGCTTCACAAGTTAGAGGGATCAAACAATTACAGATTTGATATCTAACTTAGCAGTAGATTGAACAATTAATAAACTAGTAGGCCTCCTAGAAATTAAATAAAACAATCATTAAAATAAGCATAGAAGAACATCCAATACTCAAAGCATAAAATTGAACACTAAAAACAGATAGATCGCACAGATTTATTGATCCCGAGGCCTCCGTTTCCTTCGACCAAGTTATAAAAGTTTTAGCTGCTCATGGCCATAAACAAAACTCAAAGAAAGAAAAAGTCCAGAGAAGAGAAGAGAGAGGCGTGGTGTCTTTTCCAAAACCTAATCTCATCTCTCTTTTAAAAATATCTAAATTCGAATTCTATTTCTACTCAATCTCCTCAAAATATTCTAATATCCTAAAGTAACATTTATCCTAATCTGATTAATTGGAAATAAAATAATAAAGTCCTAAAATAAAATAGGAAAGTGGTGATTCTGAGCTTTAACTTGCGTGCCACATGTCTTCAAATCTTCCAATAATAAACTGCCCAATTGATTTGCATGACAAGGCAGAATGCTCCAGGACGTCGGCAGTGCAGGTATGTCAACTTCAAGCCCGATTACAACCTTGATGCAGCGAGTATATCTCCAAACTCAAAACATAAAAGTTGTAGATCTATTTCTTATGGTTCCACTTCATTTTGAATCATCTGAATCGGAGCTCGGACGAGAGAGTTATGCCCAGATTACAAAACAATGGCGAAACTGTCCGAATTCACTTAATTAGTTCCGTTTTGCAATTAACACCTCCATTTGCATCCTAAATCAAAATAGAATAATAATGAGTACATTTAGGCAGCAAATAAGTATAAAAGACTAGACATTAAGGGGTGGTAAATATGACATTTTGCATTCTCATCAGATTTTCTTCACATTTTTCTCAAAATAACTTTAACAAAAATTCAACTAAGGGCCAACCAACCAATATTAACAATATATCAACCCAAATAAAAACAAAACAATAAACATTCAAGCAATACACCATAACTTAGCTATGTACCTCAAGTGGGGCGTTACATCTCAACACCCTTTTTGCAGTCTTGAAGTGTGTCTCAGTTGGTTGACTCATAAACTTGGGCAGCAAGCTAGTGGCATACATCAAACCTGGTCTAGTTGTTGTCAAGTATAGCAGACACCCTATCAAACTTCTGTATAATTCTTCATCAACCTTCTCACCATCATCATCCTTTGACAGTTTCAAATTTGGAATCAATGGCAGATTCACTGGTTTGCAATTCTCCATGCAGAATTTTTTCAGAACTTCATTTGCATACTTTCTTTGATTCACAAAGATGCCATGCACATCTTGATCAATTTCCATTCCAAGAAAGTAGGACATGACACCCAAATCAGTCATTTCAAACTCATTTGCATGGATTTCTTGAACTCATCCACTTGAGCTTGATTGCTTGAAGATCATCCATATACAGAGAAATGATCATCACATCATCTTCAGCTTCTCTAACGTACAAAGTATATTCATTTGGACTCCTCACAAAGTCCAAGTTGAGCAGGTGGTCATTAATCCTGCTGTACTAGGCCCTTGGTGCCTGTTTTAGGCCATACAAGGCCTTCTTCAGTAAATACACATTTCCTTCTTCTCCTTGGACCACATATCCCTTAGGTTGTTCAATGCAAATTTCCTCATTTAACCAGCCATTCAAGAAGGTAGATTTTACATCCATTTGGTAAACTTTCCAAGAGAATTGAGCTGCCACTGCAAGTAGCAGCCTGATAGTGTCATGCCGAGCAACAAGAGCAAATGTTTCCTAGAAATCCACTCCATATTGCTGAGCAAATCCCTTAACCACAAGCCTGGCCTTATGCTTCATAACTAACCCATCCGGATTTACCTTTTTTTCTGAAAATCCATTTCACCTGAATCACCTTTCTGTTTTCTTGTCTATCCCCTAGCTTCCATGTAATGCCCCACTTCAGGTACATAGCTAATGTTTCTTCTTTTTCTCTTATTTGAGTTGGTTTATTAGTATTATTGTTTGGTTGACCTTTGATTGAGTGGTATGTTGAATACTTGCCCTGAAATTGGTCGAAATAGAAGGAGTTCAGTGTTCCAGGATTCGCCGGGGTGAAGAAGAATCTTCGCCACGGCGAAGAGGTGTTGAAGCCACGGGAAACTGCTGGACAGTTTCGCCGCGGCGACAGAATCTTCTTCGCCGCGGCGACGGGCCGACCAAAATGTTAAGTTTTAGATATTTTCTTCCCTAAGGGCATTTTGACCATTCTACCCCTAATTAGCAGGAAAAGTGGGGAATAAAATGTAAGGAATTTTCATGGAGAATATGTTGATATGGGGGTGTGTTTGTAATGAATCAAAGGATATAGATGGAATTCCCAAGGAAGAGTATGGGCAAAATAGGAATGCTTGTGCATAAATTGCATTAAAAGGAATTAAGTCATTGCAAACCCTTCATTCTTCTTCCCTATCGCCACTCTCCTTTCTTATTTCCTCTCAATTTCTCTTTCATTTGTTCAAGGATTTTTAGAGGGCTTTTGGAGTGTTTTTGGGGTAGAAAATCAACCTAAGGCATCCTAAGGTAAGGAGTCTTGCTTTGGATGTGAAGCTTTGTGAGATTTTATGAATATTTGAATATTGAGGTCTTTTGGTTCATTTGTTTAAAGAGTAGAGAAAAATCAAGCAAACCAAGAGAAAGGAAGAGCTAGTGAGATCTCTCCATACCAAGGTAAGTAAATCCCAACCCAAGTTGAGATTTGAGAATTTTCTTGATTTGGGTTTTCATAGCAATTATGTATGTATGTTATATACATGTTATATGCTATGTTATTGAGTTTTAAATGGAGATTATTATTGCTTGTGGTTGTTCATACACTTCAAATGTGAGAAGTGAGATATGGGTTGGAAATGTAGTTTGAGATGGAATTGAAGGATATTGAGAAATCCTTTTTGGAAGTGATATTCTATGGCAGGGATTATGGCTATGTGAGGGAGTTTTCTCCCATTTTGGATGGTTAGAGAAAGACATGAATATGTATAGTAGAGTTTTGTATGCACTTGAGTTGTTTGATGAAATGCCTATAGAGGTTTGAGTATGAGTAGTGAACCTTAATCTTGCAACATTGCATGTTGGCATTTCATAAGTGCATTAGTGGAGATGAACCATCCATAGGCATTAATTGTGCATTGAGAAGTGATTAAGAAAGAGTAGGAAACTTGTGTTATGCACTTGTCTATGAGTAGAGAACTTTGTGAATGCAACTACTCTAAGAGTAGAGAGAATAAGAAGTGCTAGAGTAGAGTGAATGAGAAGAGTATTAGAAAGGGTTGATGCTTTATGATCAATCACCAAAAGTTATTAGAAATGGGTTGATGCTTTGTGATCATCACCCGACAGTTATTAGAAATGGGTTGATGCTTTGTGATCATCACCCGACAGTTATTAGAAATGGGTTGATGCTTTGTGATCGTCACTCGAAAGTCATGAGGAACGGGTAGGTGCTTTGTGGTCTCCACCCGATTGTTACTAAAACCGGGTAGGTGCTTCGTGATCCCCACTCGGTAGTCACTAAGAGCGGGTTGGTGCTGTGTGAACTCCACCCGACAGTCATGAAGAGCGAGATGGTACTGTGTGAATGCCATCCGGCCGTACCTCCGGTAAGATGAGGCCATGACGTTTAGTAGAAAGCAACATAAAGTGTGAGGAAAGAATTAAGAGAAATACATACGGGGATAGACAGATACAGGGTTTACTTATTGAGCATTATTTTGTGCTCACCCCGTTATTTTCCTTTGTGGATGCAGGAACTAGGTGAGGATGCAGTCAGAGGGGCGTCGGCAAGCGAGGAGCAATAGCTACACTGTTTCCCCTGTTTTGTCTTTTTAAATGGCATTTTGTAAATAATGCTCTTTGTGTATAAAAGACTTATTACGTATAATAAAAAGAACAGTTTTGGGCCCATTTTCTATTATTATTATGCATGCATTGTACTAGTTCACAGCAGTTGTTACATTCCAAGTCTGATTTTTTTCAATCATTACAAGCTCCTCCTGCATGGCAATCCTCCAAGATTCTGATTTTGCAGCCTCTGAATAGCTTGAATGTTCCATTTGTGCAAAGTTGCATTTGTCATATACATCGGCTAGAGTCTTAGTTCCTCTAACAGCAACCTCTTCATCTAATTCCTCCCATAAGTCTTCTTCAATTTGATCAGCTTGAACCTTACTCAGTTGAGATTTTGTTTCAAGATCAGCTTTACATTTTTTCCCAATTCCAAACTCCACTCTCATCTATTGTAACATCTCGGGACACCACCACTTTCCTTGAGTCAGGAATGTAAATTCTGTAGGCTTTGGATTGGCTGCTGTAGCCAATAAATATTCCTGTCATTGCCTTATCCTCCAGCTTTGTCCTCTTTGTAGGTGGCACTAGGACATAACATATGCTACCGAGGATCTTCAGTTCATCCACTACTGGTCTGACTCCAGTCCAAGCTTCAAAAGGTGTTTGATTACTCAAGGCTTTAGTGGGGAGTCGATTGAGTAAGTAGACACTTTTGTTTACAACCTCTGCCGAAAAAAATTTGGGAAGATTTTTCTCAGCCATCAAGCATCTTTCCATTTCCATGACTGTCCTATTTCTTCTCTCACAAACTCCATTCTGTTGTGGAGTATAGGGGCTGCTGAATTGATGTATAATTCTAGCTTCTATGTAGATTTTTTCAAACTCTTGAGAAGTGTATTCAGTGCCATTATCACTTCTCAAGGTTTTAATGGATTTTCCTGTTAGGTTTTCTACTTCCAGTTTGAATTTTTTGAATCCTCCAGCCACCTCACTTTTCTGCCTTAGAAAGTAAACCCAGCCCATTCTAGACCAGTCATCTATGAACAATATAAAGTACTTGCTCCCATTTAGTGATAAGGTTTGCATGGGGCCTCATACATCCGAGTGAACAAGTAGGAGTTTTTAGAAGCTCTCCAGGCTTGATTCATTGGAAAGGTTTTCCTCCTCATTTTGCCTAATTGACACACTTTACTGACACCTCTCGATTGTTCAACAATAGGTAGATTCAGGGCTAATTTTTTTGATTGCATTTCCCTTAGATTTCTATAATGTACATGTCCTAAACTGTTGTGCCATATTTCAGTTTCATCCTCTCTAACATTGCATGCTTTGTGTTGGGTAACTCTCCACATAATTGGAAAGCTTTTCCGTACCATTTTCACTCTCATAATCTCATTTCCCTCACTGTCTTGAATAATGTCGGATTGTTTTTGAAAGTGTAGTGCAAAATATTTTTCCAACTTTGTCCCACATTCAAAAAACTTTGACTTATATTAGGTGCATAAAGTACATTTGAGATTAGTTTTGTACCTTTTGGAGTTTGAATTGCAACATCTCCTTTTCCTCTTGCTTCCACACATTCTCTATTTCCAACTTTAATCTTTGACCGATGAGAGTGATCTATGTTCACAATGCTACTCAAATCTGGTGTCATGTGATGTGTGCATCCATTGTCAATTAACCAAGTATCATCACAAGCTTGGATCAAGTTGGATGAGGCCATAAACAGCTGCTCTGTCTCCTACCCTGCTGTTGTTCATCAGTTGTTTGAGCTTGCTGTTGGACTGCTCTCCCTTGTTTTTGCACACTCTTTCAATATGGCCAAACTATTTGCAGGCCATACATTGTATACCAGGTCTAAACTAGCATTTGTCCTCTACATGTCCATTCCTTTTACAATGAGAACAAGTTGGAAAATTCTTCATCTCACCAGCTTTGTTCCATTGGTTATGAGACCTTTCTTTTCCTCTCTTTTCTCCAGCAAACTTTCTGCAATTCCCTTGTATAGACTTGCCCTTATGAGTTGCTAACATTGCCCCTTCATTTGCATCCTCTAGCCTTAGGAGCCTTCTCTGCTCTTGTGCCTGTAGAGCATGGACCAGCTCAGTCAATGTGATCTGAGTCAGGTTCTTTGAGTCCTCCAAGGATGAGATCTTAGCTTCAAACCTTTTCGGCAAGCTCACCATCACCTTCTCCACTATTCTGTTGTCTGACATCTCCACTCCAAGTAATCTGATTTTGTTAACAATATTCATCAGCCTATTAACATATTCCTTCACTTTCTCAGCCTCCTGCATTCTTAATGTTTCAAACTCCCTTCTCAAATTCAGAACTTGCATGTTTCTTGTAGTATCACTTCCCATGAACTCCTCCCTCAACTTGTCCTATGACTCTTTGGCTGTTTCGCATGCCATAATTCTTGTGAAAACAAGATATGTGATAGCTGAGTGAATGTGAGACAAGGCTCTTGGAGCCTTCGAAGCTTCCTCTTCATGCATTCGGATTTGATTGAGAGTGGGATTTGGTCCCAACTGAGGGG